GTACTCAGAAGTAAGAAAGTAGGTAAGTTAAAAAAACGTAAAAAAAAAAAAAAAAAATGGGGTGAATATATATATAAAAATATGTCCTCCTTTAAAGTCAGTAACGTTAAACAGTAACAAAATGCCCAAAACAAAGGGAAGTGGAGGGACAGCCACTATCTCAGAGACATCACTATTGCTTTAAAATATAATTCAAATGGCCAATGTATTCCTCAAAACTATGTTCTGCATGTGCGAATTTCTGCACATAAATATGCCAATACCACGGTTAAACATGAATATACAGTGCACACTCACGGGCACACAACAGCTGATTTCCTCCCCTGAAGCATCAGTTATAACGTTAGCGTGTTGCTGCAACGTTACTCACCTGTCTGCACGTGATTCTGTGAGCCTCCTCAGTCTGCTCCAGGTTCAGCTGCTCTGCAGGTTTACTCTCAAAGCATCATATAAACAATAGGATCAATCCACTGGGCACGGTAGTCCCAATGCAACCAGTCCGGTCAGCCTCTCTGTCCCCCATAAAGGCCCCGCACTCCTCACTAAAGTCACTCAGTGAAGTACAATTTTGAGGTAGTTGGAGGATACTTCTTTTTTTACTACTATTTTAGATTATGTTATAGCCTACTTCTACTATCTCAGAGGCAAATATCCTGTTGTACATTTTGTCTGACAGTTTTAGTTACTTTTCATACCCTTCCTGTCCAGTGAAAGCCATGTATGTCAGAACTTGGTGCTTATTTGATTTTCTAATTTACTGAATTCAATTAAGTGTTTGTTTGTGGGTTTAAGAAAATGCCACAACTCTAGGCTAAGTTGCTTCTTAAAAAAATGCATCTTCACAAAGCTGCAACAGGGCTGTTTGCTTACTTTTACTTAATTAAGTAAGGTGTTAAATGCAGGACTTTTACTTGTAGTGGAATATTTTCAGAGTGCAGTATTTCTACTTTTACTGGAGTAAAGTATCTGAATACTTTCTCCACCACTGACAATGCGAACCATAAACCATCATGACATCATTCTTCGTTAAGTTGCATTTGCTAGACCGAAGCTTTATGAGTACTTTTAAAAAAGAATTTACTCAGTAAGGTTAATACTCGAGATTAGGAGTAGCCTACTTCAGTACAAGTTTAATAATTCAAAAAGTACAAGTAGGCTACACAAAAAACAACTTTGTGACTGTAACAAGAGCAAGATGTAACATGTTACTTCCGCCCCTGGTGATAATTGAATTTCTGCCTCATAAATTCAGTTTTAAGCTGTCAGTTTCCCCCAGAGTGACCCTCAAGGTGTTAGGTACTACTTGCATTACATCAGGACGCAAGATGTCAAAGTGTCAATGTTATACAAACACAGTGATATTTGATCGTGTAATCTCATTTGCTAACACAATGTCTGGCCCTAGCATCCATAATGCATCAAGTACAATTATTCCACAAGGTAGAAAACCCAACACCCTGGAAGAAGAGAACATCAAGACAGAACCATCGTCTCCTCTTACATCGTGTTCTCTGTGCTCACCACATTGGGTGATCATTAGCATCCACATGTAAAACCTGAAAACCACATGTGCTGACAGAGTATAACCAACTGCGAAATGTTTGTACAGTAGATGTGAGATTGTTATTTTCATATGTGATGTATTCAATTCACAGGAGATCTGCCACATTTTCCTAGATGGAGAACTTAATCACATATGAAAGGCCTGATAAACACATGCCTATACATGACATTATATACACTTAAAATGTATATATACTTGAAAAAATTCTATTTATATATATATACATTATATCATCAGAACATTTGAATACTCTGTAGCAGGATCTTCTTCTCCCATGAAAAGGTCAGGATCAGCTATTAGGAGGGATTCTTCAGTGTGGATGAGACTTGCTGTGATGGAGGCTTGAAGCCTGATCCATCCTCTGAAGGGAAATCTCTCTAATCACTCCAACCCCCTCCTGCTCCAACTTAAGGGAACAGGCAATCAACAGAGCTGGTAATGTGTCTGACTTACCAGGCAATCCAGTGAAAAGATTATATTTTGTTGTTCACTCTCTGGGCAGAGTGAAAGGTCTGCAGAATTGTACATCAAACTGTGTGTATTAATGGCATGTTATAAGCTCAGTAAGGTGGGTGGCTGGTAATGTACACAAGAGAGATGCATTCATTATAATGATGTGTGTTGATAAACAAAAGGAAAGTGATGAAAAGGGAGAGAGATAAACAGACGTGGTTGCAGATACCCAGTCTGCTCCCAGTCTGCTTTCTGTGTTGTATATTACAGATGGGCTATAAGAGATCACAGATATATCTATAAAGCATCATAAATGATGATGCTGCCTCCGTGGGGAAAGTCTTGCCCTCTGTATTCACGAGCCAGTGTATGCTAGCTGCTGTGATTAAACAGGCCCTTATTTGATAATGGAGATCTCAAATAAATGATTTTATGTAATGTTCCACAATATATCACAAGAATAGCAGATATTGTGGCTTTACGCATATGTGGGCAGTGTGTGTCCTCCCGTATAGCATGTTGAACAAAAGTCAGTGAATTAGTCTGTAAATGCCTGCAAGATATTTTTTTGTTTTGCTTTGAAAAACGATTAAATTGTAGACGGGTTAAGAGCTCTGTTACCAAAAGACAGACAATAAAACATTGTAATCTTTTCAGGCCAGTCTACTTTTTTGATCTATGTTAGTAAGCACACTATCCAGGTTTTGTTTTAGAAAACAAAGGACAAATAGAAGTGTACTTCGCTTCTATTTGTCCTTTGGGGACCACCACACATTAGGTTATGGCTCTGAAAATATATCAGACAGAACAGGCAATGTTTCATCACAAAGACATTTTTATCCAGTGCCCCAACATTGGCAATGGTGATTCTGATCAGCGTTCTTGTAAACCTCTTTTCCTACGTTTACCGGTCCAAAGTTGTGGTGTGTGTTTTTCCTCCCTTTACCATTAAATATTGTACAATGTTGTCATTTTATGCTATATCCCCCTTTCTAAATTGTTATTTTTTATTAAGCATATATTTGTATTGTTTTCAGGGATTTGTTTGACAACTTTGTTATTTTGTTACCTGTTAATTAAAGTTGTTTTCATATTGTATTGCAACAGCCTGTTGCAACAGTTATAACAAACAGCTAATCAATGCTGATACTGTTGAAGATACAGGACATGCTTTGAATTCCTTAGATATGGATGTGTTCTGAGCAGATGGCATGCAGCACATCATAAAACGAGCATTGCAACCATAAGAGACTTGACTTGGACTCTAACTCAAAGACTGACTTCACTTGGACTTGCAAAAAAAGGACTTGTGAGCATCTCTTCTGTGGGGGGGAAGGTCTCTTTTAATAAACAAACATTAGTAGTCTATTTGTATGCGCTGTGACACCTTATTTACATTCAAAGTACAAAATAATTGTCCCATTGTAAGTCTATTTTTTTCATTGTGAATTAGAAAATGGTCTGCAGACCACCGGGCACTCTATCCAGATTTGTCCCGTAGGCCGTATGTTGAATATCACTGCTGTAGATCCTGTGGGACAAGGGAGGCCAACAACAGTTCTGTGACCCACTTTTGCCTCACTTTGGCTCCCTTGTGGAATACTGAGTGAGAATGGGAGCTGAAATGACAAAGCTCAGTTTTAACTTCAGCATGGCTGGCAGATTATTGAGAGAGAGAGAGAGAGAGAGAGAGAGAGAGAGAGAGAGAGATGAAAAAGAGGGAGACTGGAGACTCATGTTCCTCTTTTCATCCCAGAAATAGGCATTAGTTTGCTGATAGGACTTTTTGACCAGGCTGCTGATAAGCCATACAGTCTGCTTTTTAGTTTAGAGTGTGAGGCTATCTCACATAATAAGACAAAATAATGGAGATGCCAGCACAAAGATAGGTACAGCGGCAGGGATAGTTGGCTCTAATGGTCTGGGGGTGCTTGTTCTGGCATGACTTTGGGCCACCGACACCTTAGAGGATGTGGTCAGTGCTTTCAACTGCTAACACTGATTTTGATGGAGCATCTCTGCCTTGCAGCATATGGATAGTGGTAAAAAAGCTAAATTTCGGCAGCCACTGCAAAACGTCCCAGGTTCAGTGCAGTTCATATCTGATTACCGTATACAAAGGGCTTTGTTATTAAATTGTTTTCAAAAAGATAAATTGGTAACTCCACCTACAGCCATCTGCAAACACAAGTAAAATGCAAAAATGATGTGGTTACTATCGTTTTATGTTAGCTTGTAATGGGTTAATGTAATCCTGGTACAATAGATGCTAAAGTCACAGACAAATTGCAGATGATTATTAAGCGCGGAAAACTATTAATGTACAACAGTTTACTATTAGGGTGATATTTAAATTCCGCACTTCCTTTTCTGTTAACTTATCCTGAAATGGCGCGCTACGAAACATTGTGGTTGATTGCAGTTGTAATGATTAGGAATTATGCAGCGTGTTGCATTTGTTTTTATTGTCACGTTTCATTTCGTTTTCAAGATGGGATCACACAAACTAACATTCCTAACCTACCGTGAAAACACATCAAACTTTTAAGGAATGACTTTCACACATTACAGTCACAGACGTTGTGGTTAGAATTAAGATGCTGATCCAAATACCAGGTGCATTTAGTCCAGATTACTGCCATGAAAATTAAAAATGATAAGATAGTGACACTTCTGGCTGATCTGAGGCTTGGTGAAGAGGCAAGAGAATGAATCCTTAACTGCAAGAGAACATAAGGTTACTGTCTTCACTATCTTTAGTTAAACTTTATTTCCAGCCACATGAGTCCATATATTTTATAGATTTGCTTGGTTTAATCATCGTCATCTCCATTGTGTATATTTCGGGGTTAAGCTGATATGTGTTAATACCCCAATACAAAAAAACAACAACTTTCAAACAGCAGTTGCTGAACAAAATAAAAAGAGGCAACTTGGGAATAAAATTATTAATACAAATTTAAAAAACTCATCATTATTGCCTCCAGTATTTTTGTCATTTATTTATCTGCTCTCCTTTTCTTCTTATCTTTATCTCATAACGTCTTTAAGTAATACACCACAAGTCAATATGTTGTGTTTAAAATGTGGCTTTATAAAGTGTGTAAGTTATTTCCTCACTAACACCAGTAGCTTTAAACACACAATGCTAAAGACTGCTATTGTGTCATCATACCACCCTCCTTAGTGCATTTCGCAATTATTGGGTGGAACGCTCTCAAATCATTGATCAAACAACTTATTGTGTTACCTTTTATTCAACTGTCTCCTTTTGAATCACTCACTCATCTTTCATTCTGGCTGTGGTTCCTAATCTGTCTTTCCATCTCCCAGTCTCTCTTTCCCCTCATTTTGAAAAAAAAAGAAAGCATCAGTTACCCTCTAACAATACAACATGTTGGGATATAACATGTGTTATTCTCTCTGGTGAATAGAGAGGGGAGATATGAACAGGGCAGCATTCCCAGTAGATAAAACTAAAAGGCAAAATGTTTTGCATCATTTTAATAAAACTGATAACTGCCATGGAGCCCGCCTTTATCAGGAAGAAGGCCGCAGATGCAAAATAATGTGACAACACAAAAGCGATTATGTGTTTGTGTTATCACCAGCCATGTTCACTGCACACAGTAATTGTATTTTATAATTTTGTACCCGCTGCACAGTTCATAATTCCCCTTTCCAATGATGGCTTATGTTTCCTGGTAGTGCCTCGAAACACCCCACCAAGAACACTTTGGATTATAGCAATATTGCCGCTGAGACAATTGTGTCAAACCCACAGCACACCGGGCCTACACTCACTCACAGCTACACACTCTCATTCACTCACTCACTCACTCACTCTCAGCCATGGGTGTCAGCCAAACGGTGCTATTTGCTGGAGCAAGACTGGCACTTCTCCAGACCATGGGGGTAGCAGGCTTGGCAACGCAGATCACTGATGGACTCATTGAAGCGGTTCGCCAGCATGGACAGCTTGCTGCCGTGACACAGAGAGCAGGGAGCGCAGCCCGAACCGCGACAATGCTGGCAGCTGTCGGCCTCCTGGAGACAGAAGAAACACATTAGCGGGGAGAAGAGGAGGAGCGAGAGGAGGTGAAGCCGAGGAACTGTAACAGGTAAAAGGTAAAACAAAGGGAGGAAGAGGTTGGAAAGGGTGAGAAAGACAATCAACATAAGGATAGAGAATTAACTGAAAAGGGAAGTTGGAAGTCAAGTTTTTTTTTATTTATGTATAAAAAACTGCTGTATATAATTTATTTAAATGTGTCACATGCATCAATATTTAGAATAAACCACAATTTTACATTCAAACATATTACTAATATTTACACTGCAACTGTTGAAAAGCTTATTATTAACTTGCCAGTTCATAAACAGCGACAATCAACACAGCTACTTTAACTGGCTGGCCTACTGGCAAACACTAAACAACCTTAACGACATTCCGATATTATTTATAATTAAATGCCTATATGGTAAGTAGCTGTGTCATTTATACAGCCAGCTGGTCATTACAATTAAATGCTTAATAACAAGCAGCTGCCTGTAGATTATAGGTGACATGAGGCAGGATACTTACAGAAGACGTAAATCTATACAAACTATTGCATGTCGTAAATCAGTAGAAATTGTTTTTAGTGACAACTTTGCACAATGAGGGCTGGGAATTGTCCCGAGCAACCAGGATGTTATTGCTATGGAGGTTTCAAATGTATTTAAAGGAACAGCGTGTAGGATTCAGGGGTATTTATTGGCAGAATTGGAATATAATATTCATACCTCCTGAAACTATGAGTCGTTGTATTTTCATTACCTTCGAATGAGCCGTTAATAAAATCTACATACGGAGATGTCATGTTCATGGAGTTACACCAACATGTTTCTACAGTAGCCTTGAATAGATAAACCAAACATCTGGGACTCCTAAAGTAAAGTGTTTGCGGTTGAAATGCACTACAAATTTTTCTTTTAACAAAAGGTTTTCTCACTAAAGAGTTTTGGTGCATATAATTAGTTTAAGCTGCATGCACATAGCATTTAGTGGTGTGTATCATGCATTGCACTGGGATGATCAGCTGTTGTACCGGTTGTCAAATATACACCCAGATTGTGTAAACAGTTGCAAAATTGCAGGTACAGTGTATAAATCTATGCCTGTGTAGAAATACAGAAACAAAGACAGTGAAACATTACCTTCGCGGCAGGGCTACAAAGACAAAGATGATAAAGAAAAGAAATTAACATAGAGGAGTGAGAGTGCCAAATAATGAAAAAAAAAGGCTGAGTGAACTTTTTCTCTTACAGAGGCAGAGAAAATGAGAAAATAACGAAATCGGTGAGAAAACAATGGAGGGAGTGAGGGGAAAAGAGCAGTAATCAGCCAAGGAGGTGAGAGGGGGG